AGGCCATCGAGCCTCCTGTCCTTCCCAAACTGAAACTGAAACTGAACTATTTGAACACATATTGCCGCTCTAATTGAAAGTGGGCTCTGTGTCCGGCCGTATGCATTGTCTTATTGGCCATAGCTTTTTGACCGAAGATTATAGTAGTGTTATAACATCCTTTTAAGTAATCCTACACTACGTTGGAGCTTCGGCTCGGATTTTTATTTGGATAATATCAGATTTAATCGTTCTCATAACGTCGTTGGTTCCACCACGTGCAGAGGAACCTTCGGTAATCAAGTAACCTCGTTTGAGGGTGTCATCTCAGAAGCGGTTTACAAGTAACACTCGTTTCATAACAACTACTGTCATTTTGTTATTTAATATACCATTTTTATTGTAAGTTTTATTTGTTACCTTTCTGCTTAGCTCATAGATAGACACTTATTTTTGTTGAGTTAACCCTTTTTGGCATATCATTGGTAACTGTGAGCATTGTTGTATACAGAGTAGGCCACGCGTGTACAGTTACTGTTAGGGAAGTCCTACTAACTGTCTTCTCGCGGCGATGGTGTTTTTTCACGAAATTGAGAGGATAAAAGGTGAATATCCATCTCCCTAACCGGGTTGGTGGACACGGAGAGTAGACACTGGAGCCGAAGTTAGTGTTCTTCCAGTTACCTAAGCCAAGAGATCTATCGCCAATTGTGAAAAATACTCATTAAGAGCAGCTAATAAAAGTGAAATAAAGACATTTGGAGAACAACTGATATTAAACTTGGGAATTAGACGTCGTCTAAGCTAAGGGTTTATTATCACCGATGTCCGTCATCCTATGTTAGTCATGGACTTCCTAAGCCCCTACAACTTACTAGTTGATGTTAAAAAACGAAAACTTGTCGATTCTTGTACGAAATTTCAAGTTCTGGGAGTTCAGTCGGACTAACACATACATAGCATTAAAATCAACACCCTAATAAACAATATTTTATCCAAATTTCCCAAAATAACGAAACCAGACTTCAGTGAAAATACCATCCAACATTCGGTAGCATATCGAATCATTACACACATACGTACCATCTTACCTACATACTCAGGACCACATTCATGATTGACAATAACTGGAATAATTAGAATAATTTATTTGTTCAAAAGTTATGATAAACTGCGCGGGGATTATAATAGAGAGACTGCTACAGCATCTTTATTTAATATCTTTCCTTTCGTGTAAAACTGTTAACCCAAGTCGCAGTGACTCATTGTTCTATTTTGTATAGACTCAATATAATTTTATAGACGAATATGCACTCAGAAAGTGATCTTGCTCATGTCCTATTTCGCAGGCTATTTCGAGGCACAAGTTTGTTTCAAAAATTTAAATGTTTTGATGTAAGATTTGACATCCAGAATATTAGAGTTAGTATTAGGAAAGCTATTATTGGTTTAGACACTGAGCATGTACTACTAGTGATACTAGTATCTTGTATTACTTTTGTCTGAGTATCAGATACATTATTCTATAAGTTCGAGTACATTAGTAAAGCCACATATTCAAAGCATTCGCATGCGGACGTTACGCAGTAACATACTTGAGTTATTTTCTGCCTACACATAACCTGTTTTCATTCAAAACCACTATAGATGCAAGAAAAGCTTAACCGGATCATGCATTGCTTATAGCTAATAGGGATTTCATTTACCTTTAAGTTATCAAATAAGTATATATTTCAAAAATCTCGTTAAATTCAACGTTTTCAGAATGTCACAACTACGTTCGTCAACATCTTCAATACCTTCTGACCTTCGGGTTGATTTAAGTGAAATAGTGGAAGATCTACTAGCCTTTCACTATGATGATATCTGCTCTTCGTTATCGGATAACTCTGGTTTCTCTGGTCCTAATAGTTCTACTAGCACATTGACAACCAGTGGATCTAATACTGCTGATCTGGTTCGTCGAATTAGCCGAATGCGTTCGAATATACAACGTGCTCAAGAAGCAGCCCGCAAACTTAGTACCTGTGATCTGGATGTCCCTGCTCAAGAAAAACTACTGCTTGCTGTTGCGAATTCTTGTGTTACCAAACGCCACTTAACATGTTTGTTAAAAACAGAGCTTGACAAGCTATCTGCTAAGGACTCTGACTGTTACTTTGAGTAGTTCATTTTTCTAATTCACTTTTTGCTCATATTTACTGTATCATCTCTTTCAGAATAGCATTTTGATAAATGATTTTTGAGATATTTAGTCCATATTCTTAGCGCAATATGTTTTCACTAAAATGCTAGTTTCAATAGCTTACTCGTTAATTGTTGTATATTGTAATCTCACTGATACATTTGCTAACTATTATTACAGAGGATAGGACAAGTTCCAACTTCTCACCTAGAAATATGTCAATATGTGTATTATTTTAAACTTAAAACGACCTAAAATGCGAAAGCCCACGAAGTTTGTAAGTGATGGATAAATTAGATGAGGACAAATACTGATTATACGATTATGTTTGCCGTAAGTAGATTTAATGAACGAAATTTAGAAGTAAAGTCTGATTTTCTCTGCTGAACTGTATATGTGATAATATGGTGCTTTCAAATAGTGTTGTTTCCATAAAATAAAGATGGTGGGAAAGATTTGTAGCTCAGGCGGATGATTTTGATGGAGTTTTGTTCTCTGAGATGGATGGTTTGGTCGTGGAGTTTTCATCGTTCTTCTGAAAGACATCAGCACAAACTTCAGGTAGCTCTTATTTTTGATAATAAAATCAACAGGCAAATAAAACATTGCAATATGTTCTTATGAATTGCACTAATGAATATGTCAGTTCTTGAAATGAGTTCATCAAGTCACTGAGTACAATTTTTAGCGGTAGACAGGTGTTTGATATCGCCGAAAAATTCGATTTTGTGACTCAATATTATAAGATTTTGGATAAATCAACACATCTTTTTAATCTAACTTTACTGCTTATGAGTAACTACTATTTGATTACCCAATTTCCTTGATCTATTGCTTGTTTAGAAGCTAGCCTTTTCCTCACCAGTTAGTAAGTTATTATTCGTTCCGCCATATTGGAGTGAATGTTTTTTTTACTAAAGCTGCTGTTTATTAACTATATACCTACGTGTTCAGATTTATGATTATGCTTTCACATCAAGATAGTCTTCAGACTAAAGTTTAAAGGAACTAACATCTTTTATCTCCTTTCAAATTTTGATCATCTCATTATTCCGTAATTTTGGTACGTTATCTTGACTTGTTTTTTGTCTATTTCTTGTTGACATTTCCAAAATGTATTAATGTAAATTATGGAGAATTTGACCAATACACATTTGCGCCAGGTTTTATATTCTTTCTATTGTTACTTTTTATTAGTAGGAAAATAATGTTAAATACCATCATGTGATTACAGCTTAACGTAGTACTACATATACCTACCATTTTTTCTGCAAAATCTATTCATTCTCACACATTTATCTCCTGAACCCTGTGATTACGTTCTCAGGTCGATAAGTATTTCTTTCCCTATATCTCGAAGATTTCCCATTTCCCAATGTGAGTAATCGAAAATTGTTGATCTCTCAAACACCTTTAACGTAATTTGTTTTGTGCGCTATTGGTCTTTAATTGAAGGGACACAGGCCAAACTGATGTATATAATGAAGAAATTATTATTATTTGATTTTCTAACATTTGGAATAAGTTTACAGGTTTCGTATTATGTATCACTCGACCACTCAGGAATTCCAACCACTACGAAGTGGTTCTTTGGAACTTGAACTCTCAACAACTAAGTACACAGGAATCTACAATAGTCTTTGCAAAATTCTATATAATACTTAGTGATTCTACCCAACTAAGGGCATTTTATTAGTCAATTATATTTCAAAAAAGAGCGAGGTTTATTTCATACAAGATAGTATCCGACCATCACTGGTTTTTATTTTCGTACTAGTTTACTCAAAAATCATCCCTTCACTCAATTTCTAAATGATATGTCGTTTTGTATAGCTCACGATGAACTCAGGGATGTTTTTTCTCCTACTTATTGGTTTGTATTGATTTATGTTGCTACCTGAGTTGCTTCGTTTATATTAGTTTAGGTATTTGTACAAATGATGGGTACTATCATCCTTGTAATCAACAATTACTGCTTTGATTATGAACCTTGCATTTTACTTTTTTTACGAATTTCCGATCGAAAGTAGAATCATGCATCAGAATTTCCAATACCTTCTATACGGTCTTAATTATTTTGTTAGATTGTATATTCAATGACTCGTTTTCCATTGGTAGAAAAATGCACCTAAGGGTATGAACGTTCATTGTTTTTTCTTGGTAATAGATTTTCATAGTTTACGCGTAAACTATGATATTTTAAAAGGCCTGATATTTTTACAGATGGTTTGTTTTAGGACCCAATTCGTATAACATGCCAAAGATTGCATTGACGTTTTCACAATAATAAATAAACCGTTTAATTACAGCAAAGAGAAAAGAAATTCAAACTTACTAAAAAAATCCTGACTGCATTCCTTCTATGTGCGAGATGTACTAATGATTTGGAGCAAACGATGACCACATTAAAGATATTGTTACGTATGTAAAATATTTTTGAAGATAATTTCGAAATATGGCTCTGGTTTAAGTACGCAGCTTTAAACCACTACTTCACAAACTATGGAATCTTTACTTATCAAGGTTTAGGTAATAGCTAGTTGTGCTCATTCATCTTGAATTAGTTATTTGGTTCATAGCTGGTACTTTAAATCGGCTGCTTTATTTTGACACTTCATACATTACCCTTTGTGAATTAGAAATTGCCATGTCGAGAAATCAATCTAAGTAACCCCACCTAACCAGTGATGATAGGTCTTTTCAAGGTGTAGAGCCGTTTATTTAGACTTTGTATATACTTGTCTATTTTTTCCCACTTTTACCAAATTAACCAAAATTTTATCTATCTTAAATAGCCCACGATTGTTCCAGCTCATAACGTGCACACTAAAGTGTAATGGACTTATCTACAAATCCGTCCACCTTGATTAATAAAATGATTCGATTATATTGTATTGAAGACAGGATTTTCAGTGGGTTCTTATACACTGTAGACCCAAAGACAGGGAACTATGTGTTATTTTCACAAATGAATGGAAAATACCGACCAACTATTGTCCGCTGTGAAGTAGTTGAGAGGGTAGAAGTAAGCAGTGACCTTCAAAATGTAATGTCTATCCTTTATTTTCCCACCTCATTTTGACATATATATGCATACACATAGCAGTTCGCTCTGTTCTTATTGACGGGAGTGAAGCATGGCTATCAAGAATAAATTATATTCGTCGATCACCCTTATTGGATCTTAGGTATTTTCAAACCACTGCTTGTGTCTTTTTGGACCACCGAACAAGCAATGCTGAGGTTAGGTGTAGAGTACAAGATGAAGATGGTAATTCAGTTGATGAGATTGTAAACACTCACCGATTGAGATAATGGAAACACATGTTAGGTATCCCCATCCACCACCTACCTCGGCACGGGACGTCTGGTCTAGGAGTAGGTTGAAAGAAAGCTAGGGGTTAGGGCAAATCAAGACGTGGCATCAGTCCATGAAGTAGTGGACTGTTGGTCTGGGACATTTTGGTGGATGCAGGCTATCTGATTGTGTTTTGTGCGGTAACTGCGATCAGTAGTCGGGAGCTTTGTATGACATGGCTTGGGATTGTTCAGAATGGTTCAAATGTATTCCCTCTTAATCTTCCTCTCGATCTTGAATCCCAGTATTCATTTGTATGCACTTTTACATACTGCCTTTTCGAACCATATCCTCAATGTTTAGTCTTTCTCATCATTATTGCAACTGAATTATTTCGATCTCTTTAGTTGTTTTCATCTGATCGTGCTAATTAGGTATGGGGAGTTAGGACAACACACATGTGTACCAGACCCTATATTGATAATGAATAACTGAGTGTAATGGTTAATCGCAGTTTTTCGTGAAAGGTCCACCTATTTGATAAAGTTAACATGTTTGTAAGTACATCTAAAGTTTGGTTACCTTTAAACTCCCGATCCACATAATGACATATCCAAGATATACCATTTTTTAGGTCTATGTTTTAGTTTTCCCTTATGTCTTTGTCTATAAAGTAGCTTGAACAGCTCCTTTCAGGTGATTTTCTATTAAGGAAGTCAAACTTTTTCTCATCACTTTTCGGGCTACAGTTCTCACATATCGGATAACATAAAACGTGAATAAGTTTCTTGTTCTCGTTTAATGGCATTTCTGTGAATTTGTTGTTCATCTTGTTGTACTAATGAGGTGTGGCGCTTGGACTGATGCATATGTGCCTGGTCCTACGTTTTGGCTGACTGATTGAACTATAGAAGTTGGTTACCTGACCTTTCCATGTTTTTTCCCTATGGATAAAGCGTTTTGGATGTTGATTACTCTGTCTTAAAGACACAACGAGGAATGAAATGAGTGAACCCACATTATTTTTTAATGTAAATTCCAGGTCTAGTTTACTGGTATGAAAGGAATTTAAAATATCGGTTAGGTCCATTTCTCGTCACAAATGACAAACATATCGTCCATGTTTTGCGTACAAGTTAAAGCTTATGATAAATGAATGAAGTTAATTGTTTTCGAGCTATACATGAACCAATCTTCTAGGATTGAGTCTGACGGAGATCCTATTGCAGTTTCATTTTTTCCATATATCCAACTGTTAAATCTCAATTGAATTTTAAAAGTGCAACGTAACAATAATTCATCCTGGTGATTAACCAGTAAGCCAATACCCATGTCGTATGAATCAGTGTAGTCGTAAATCTAACATATTTTGTTTCAGTGTTACACTCTTGATTAAACAACATGGCATTCTTAATGTAATTAATGAACTTAAATGTATCATAGACAGAATATTTTGATACCCGCTTTGTAATTCGTTACAATCTTTCTTTAAATCTCTAAGTGATTTGGTGTTGTGGGGAATCAGGCATAAGTAAGTAACTAGTCGAACCTCTTGAATATTAGAAATTCCATGTATATATATATATATTTATATATATATATATATATATATAATGTTCCCATGATATGCGTTTCTGAAGATGAACATATCAATTTCCAGTGATTTTGCTGGAAGGAATGCTAGTCATCTGTGAAGTATTTTTAGGATTATTTTTATTCGTAAAAATATGAGTTTCACTGTGGGACAAGTTGTTCTTGTGACTAAACTGTAAGTGTCGATTGGTTTCTTGTTATATATCACTTTTCCTAGTCTCAATTTTGATTGATCTTCGTCATTAGACCACTTTATTTAGGGTAAATTATTCTAGTTTGTTGGTTCCTTTTGTTTCATTGCGAATTATACCGTTTATCATTTAGTCAAATCCCATTTTATTTGTGAATCTGCCATTTGTATCAAAAACCTCAAGTATTTAGTCGTAACCGATTACACTTTTGTGTTGTTTCACAAGTAATCCAAAGATTTTCGGAATTACAGAAAGAAGACTTGCTTGCAAAGTTTCTCATATGCCTTTTTATTGGAAGAGAAATTAATTAGCGTATAGTAATTTTTGTAGTAACTGGTTATGATTTTACGCATGGAGCTAACATGCATGTCTTTACTACCATAATTTAATGGTATACTATTCATTTTACTGACTTGAACGCGACGAAGTTGATAGTCAAGGGTAAGCAAACTAAGATAAGAAATTAACCTTAGAAGCACCTGATTGTCTAAGTCATGTGAGGAAGCACAAACAATGTTAATATTGTCTTTAACATTTTAGAAACCGATGATTGAGGGCCTCTAATAAATAGCATTCAAAGTCATTCGTTGCTGGAGGCACCCATTAATTTTTAGTACTGGACAAATTCTTACTATTATATATGAGTTAAACAAATTTCGTACAAATTGCATAACAGTCTTTCCTGATGATTCTACGTGTTAATGATTATTGTTCTCCGTGTTTATATTACTGAACATGCCTTGATGCTCCAGTTTATTATTATTGATTTTTTGTAAGTTGTGTTGATATCTACTTAAAACAATAAAATGTTTGTTAACTTCCAGATATTCACAGATCAACTGTATAACATTGTAAGATTTATCATTGAATTGATGTCACAAAAATGCGACATACTATCAAAATCCTTATCTGATATCGCATCTTTCTTAAAAACTGCTACCAGGTTTGTACTCATTTTACCATTTGATGAATTTCTGAGATTTTGTTAGTAATAAATTGAAATAATCTTCAAGTTTGTGTGATTCTTTCCAAACTGTATCATTGTGGGATAATGTTTAAGAGGTTTCCCGAATTTTCTTGTCTTTGTTAACTCTATTTGGTTTATTTGTACGTTACACACTTTCTTGTGACTATACAGTGAGCCGCTTAAATGATTACAGATTACTATTTATCAACCATAAGTCTAACCATTGATTTATCCAAAATGGCAACCCATACTTTCCTTAATTGTATGTAGGAGACCGTTCATATTTCTTTAAATTCTCTATTATAAATAAATCAGTAAAATATTCCAATATTTATTTTCCATTGTTATTGTTTTATATTATTCAGATACTTGGTGATGAAATCCCATCCGAGTTAATAAAAATTTTTGATTCTTTCACATCAATTGACAAATGTTCATTGAATACAAGTGAAGAAATGCGAACAACATCTTCGGCGATCAAAACGTTAACATCAGATGAATTAAGTTGTCGACGTGAGAAAATCATTAAACTATTTTCTTTAAATCATCTAAATGAAGTAAGTGTAAATGATCGAGAGGAAGTGGTTATTCATAATGTGGTATTTATTAAGCCGCCATACAATATCGACTGTTGTTCTGGTAAAAATATGATTATATTGGATCGTGTCAAAAATTTAATCGGTAAATTAGAAGAGGATAGAAACAATCCAGTCGAATAAAGTACAAGAATTAGCTCAGAATGATACTTTATGTATACCGTCCCTACACAAATGCTTAATTTCCATAAAATTTATCGTTGCCTGTTTGTCTAATATTTCGTGGCAATTCTCCTTAATATATTTGTGTAAATGCTCTTAAATGATTGTATGTATAACTGTACAGTTAAACAGTTTTCGTGCATTTAAGGTTTTATTTCCAATAACTGTCTAATATTCCAACTTAATTTGGTATATACAAATGTGTTTACTGAATTTCATAATTCAGTTATCGTTAAGCAGCATAGAACCCATCATATGTGCTCATCGGTTCGATTTGTCATGCCACATCACCATTGCTAGATGTAACACTCAAGATTAATCCTAGAGCAATATAATTAGTGACGGTATATCAGTAATAGGCGGAGAGACTAGACGTTGAAAAATGGGTTGAGAAATAATGAATCCATGGGATTAAAACTACAAGATAATTCTGAAACGCAGGTACTCACTATGACTACCAGAAACGCTCGAGTCCTGAATCACAAGTTTTAAAACCCTATTTTCTAGTGAGCGGCACACACACCGATAAATACAACTAAAGTGGTGATTCGGTAAATGAATGTGTTACTGGACTTATATAAAATAATGATAAAGGTAAAATTACATAAATGAAACGGCCAGGTTTCAGAAATTGGATCCAACCAAGCTATGGAATTATTAATTACGAAAATATTAATGACTGCGAGGCTTTGCATTTTAAAGCAGTAGACGTTTCCAGAAAAGTGAATACGTTCTTCAATCTAAAAACGAGCCAATAAAACAAATGCTAACAAAGAGCGGGGGATAAATATTGAAGCCGACGTGGTCAGGTGTGAGTGAAGAAAATGCTTATCAGCCAGGGAATACTAAAATAGGTAAAATAGGAATTATGCAGTAGGACGAACACAACTGCACGTAAATGTGAACATTAACTTTGCCCTGGTGTTATGACTGTGATGGCAGATTAGAGGGTAGCGAATTATTGATCGAACCAAAGACGCGCAAACACGTAGAACGGCCTAGGGTTATGATTGGTCTCGCTTCCCTATCTAGCCCAGCCAGTTGAGTCCAGAACACAAGTCTCAGCCTTGGAGATATAAATCATTATATTTCAAACACACTTTGTTTATATACCAGTCAAGCAGACCACATCGTACCATAAAATAGAAAATAACATTGTACAATATTGGCCAACAGGAAAATGACTCGTTAAATAAATATTGACCAATAAGATGATACCATTTCATACCCAAGGATAGCATTAGGCTCAACAGGATAATTTTTGGGATATTTTCCTGAATATCCCAACACCTGGATTAATGTACAGGAAAGTCAAATTAGATAGGGAAATTATTAATCAAAAAGAACTAAGATGTTGATGTCCTATAATGTGAACATAGGAAGTTTCCTCAATCTCATATACCAAAAAACATTTCAACGTAAACACTGTCTTCATTTATTTGAACACATAAATATTGGTACAAGGAGTCACCAGAGATATTTGCGCCACACAATAAGAATGAGAAGAGAAAAAGGAAAGCAAGGTGCGTATAAGAAATTAAAGGAGAAGGACAATAACGACCACAGATTAGTGTATGGTGGTGTAATAATAATGAGGGAAACGGGAATGTACAGCCTGAAAGTGTTCTTTCAGCTAAGGAAGATACAACCACTTTATAAAAAAAAGTAAAAGAAGCTTACAGCAGGATCGCCACTAGCTTATATTCTGAGCCATATCTGATAACGTCTCTAGACACCATGTTGCACCATCTCTCAGAACCCAACCAGGGAGTCGAGGACCAACAGAAACTAGCCCTTTGCAGCTTTCTTTCATACCACGACACCACGTCATATACTGACCACCTCTCCGCTTCTTCCAACCAGTCCCAGAGTCGGCAAATAATGCACGACGTGGAATTCTCTGGGACGACATTCGGAGAACATGTCCAAGTCACCGAAGTCGATGTTTCAAGATGGTGACACCAATTGAGTTATCATCTCTGTGCCCGAACACACGATGCCGAACCTCTGCATTACTAACATGGTGTTGCCACTGAATGTCAGCAATCCTTCGGAGACAGCGATGATCAAACACAGAGAGTCGTCTAACATCCTCAACTCGGAGAGGTCAAGTTTCCCAATCATAGAGCAAAACTGCTCTCACCGACGCGTTGTAGATCCGACCCTTTACAGCCAGACTGACATGACGAGTGCGCCAAAGATGGCCCAGATTGGCATAAGCCGCTCTGGCTTTCACTATACGTGCATTGACCTCATCACTCACGCCACCACCAGCACTTATATAGCTACCTAGATACACGAACTTCTCGACTACTTCTATCTGCTCACCATTCAGGGTGAGTACAGGATTAGGATCCTGCCAGTCTTGTAGAAGTACTTTGCACTTCGAAGGTGCAAAGCACCATCTCAAGCACATACCATACCTACGGACACTGATTGCCAAGTGATTAAGTGCGGATTGCATGGCTTGGGCATTATCGCACAGTAAGACAATATCGTCCGCATACTCAAGGTCGAGAAGTCTTTCTCCAGGCAACAGATCCACGCCTCTATTGCTTACATCCATCAGATCTGTTTCCAGAATGTCGTCGATGGCCAAGTTGAAGAGGAATGGTGAGATTGGGCAACCCTGTCTAACCCCACTGCTTGAATGGAACAATGGAGAGAGGTGGTTGTATGCCCTCACTCTGCCTGAGGTGTTTGTATATAGGGCCTTCAGGATGTTAATAAACTTCCCAGGCACACCCTTATTCAATAGACAACCCCAGAGAACAGTCCTGTCCAATGAATCGAAGGCAGCCCTAATGTCAAGAAACACTACGATTGTTGGCCTTTGATAAGTATGGTGGTGTTCTAGCATTTGACGGAGGGTGAAGGTATGGTCAATACATCGTCGCCCAGAACGAAAACCAGCCTGCTCCTCGCGAATCAATCTTTCTTTGGTTTTGAAAAACCTACGAAGTATGACAGAAGCCAATAGCTTGGACGCAATCGTAAGTAGACCTATACCCCGATAGTTGTTACAGTAAGGACGTGAACCCTTTTTAAAGATAAGGATAACTATCGACTCGTTCCACGACGTTGGTACACTCTCTAGTTCACAGATCTTTGTAAACAACGTCGTCAATTCCTTAGTCAGAAAGTCATCATCATCTTTAAAAAGGGCCGGAGGTAAGTCATCTGGGCCTGGTGATTTGTAGCGCTTCAAGAGTTGGAGTCTCTTGCGGATTTCCGCCTCCTTTGCTGGATCAGTCATCACCGGCCATGGAGGGCAGGACAGTCTGACCGATGTTGCCAGAGCAACAGGCCAGTTGGACTGCCCTTCGAAGAATTCTGCCCATCGTCAAAGACGTCGATGGATGTTAGTGATTGGCATCCCATCATCCTCGCAGATTGTTTCACTCACACCAGACTTCTTGCTGCCAGTGGCTCGGATGAGTTGGAAGAGCTTCCGGTAGTTACCAGATGCAGCTGCTGCTTCCAGCACATTAGCACGCTTCGATCACCAGGCTTCTCAGTGCTCACGCGAGCTTTGCCCAATTTCATTACGTAACATCCTTCGTTTGTGGTCAAACTCACGGTCACCCGGAGTAGACCGACGGGCTTCAATGAGTTGCAAGGAACCAGAAGAAACCCAGTACTTATAAGCGGGACGTTTCGCGAACCCACAAGTAACGTTACTCGCCATTTTCATGGCTTCTTGCAATTGCAACCAATGCTCATCTATACTTTTCGGTGGAGTGGTAGCTAGCCTAGAGGCTAGCTCAAATCGATACTTACTTGCAACAGAAGTTGCAACCAACTTGCTGACATCAATCCTTTGGTGGCGGTCACTTCGTTGTCCACTGAAAAGTAAGGTGAGATTGGCGCAGACCAAGGCATGGTCAGAGTCCAGATAGGTACTGGAAAAAGAGCGGCAGTCTTGTACACAACCACGCCAGCGGTAGCTGATCACGATGTGATCAATCTGAGTCCAGGCTTGAGATGCAGAGGGAGGATGCCAGGTGGCACATTGGCGATGACTGTGCCGGAAGTTAGTGCTAGCCAGAAACAGGTTGTGGTCTGTGCACAGTTGCAGTAGACAGTCCCTGTCATTTCACCTGCGACCAACGAGTCCCCATCGACCACCCAAACGACTCTCTTCTGTGCCTAGACGCCCGACCTGAACATTCAAGTCTCCGGCTAGTACTACAATATCTGTCGAACGCACTTTCTGGAGAAGAACCGATAACTGGTGGTAAAGCTCATCGTTGATCGCATCCGGGCTGCAATCTGTCGGGGCATAGGCGGAGATGACGAAAAGGCATCGTTTCTCACGCCGATTTCTTCTCACTTTGATGGAACTTTCTAATCTAACAGCACATATCCGACTGTTAATGGGGATCCAATCGACTAGTGCTGCCTCAGCTCTAGCGCTTAGTGCGACACCAACGCCAGCAAGACTAGACGAAGATGCCACAGGGTCCCCGGATAAGCGCACGTAAAACAAGCTTTTTGAAGTGACAGATGTAGAGCGAATTTGTAGTACTTCACCAGAGTCTTGAATACGGATCTCGGATAGACAACAGAAGCCTATATTAAGAATTTTCAAAGACATAGTCAGGCCTATCTGTTGTCCATCCTGCATAAGTGTGAGAACGTTGAAGGTAGCCAGTTTGAATGGTGCATGTGGTTTTAGGAAAACTGCTTCAGTATTCGTATTTGGTGGTAACATACAATTTTCAACCAGGCAGAGACTCGAGAACGTTTGGATAGAACCGAGTTTCCACCATTAGCGCGCTGCTGTGTAAGTTGAAATGTAAGGATGCTCAGGTTAGAATGGAAAATTGTAGATAAGTGACGTAATACAAAAAATTAAGGTGAAAGCGAATGTTATCAAATGGGTATGTTTTGTTTGAATTGTAATAGGAGTAAGGGCGGCATATCCAATAATCTTTCCCTTTTCATTTTAATTTTGTGAA